TGTTATCTTATGGACTGACGGCCACCTAGCAACCCAGCGGGTGGCGCAACGCGGCGCGAAAAAAAAACTTCTTCTCGAATCTGGCAGTGAGAATTCGGTGGAGAATTTCTTCCTCTCGTGTTGCCGCGCCTCCGTTGAGTTGCCTGGTGGGCGCGGGGTAGAGGCACGGAAACGGCGTCTGCCCCTCGTCTGCCGCTCATTCGGGTGTTTTCGGAAAGTATCGCGAGCCCTTCGGGAGTGTTCGGGTCCGAATCGAAGTACACTGCATCCCCTCCAAAAGAATAATTCTCCGCGCTGCCCCGCGCTTCCGCTAGAGTTGCTTGGTGGGCGCGAACCCTGGAGAAGCGGACGGAAGTCGTTTATATATATCAAAAAATAATGGGGCCCAAAACCACTCCTTGAGGGTTGTCAAATTGCAAATCAAGCACTTCACTCAAAACATTATAATCAATCACGAGAAAATTTACAAAATGAATTTAATTTATTGTACCGTAAACACCCTTGTTTGTATAATTGTTCTTGAAGTTGTATTGAAGTAGTAGAATATGTTAAATATCTAGGATTGTTTGTTGATCATCATTTAAAGTGGGAGCAGCATGTAAAACAACTTTCAATTAAATTAAGGAAAATAAATTATGCTTTATATCACTTAAGAGACAACATTAGGAGTGAGCATTTAAAAAAGGTATACATCTCCTGGTTTGAAAGTGTGATGAGATATGGAATAGTACATTATGGGGGTACTTATCCTACCATATTACAACCTGTCATCACGAACCAAAGACATGCACTGAGGGCTGTTTTTGGATTTAAAAAATATGATAGAGTAAGTTATCTTTTTGAACATGAAGAGCTTTTAACCTTCAATCAATTGCACGTATACTGTTTGATTAGGTTTGTTTTTTTACATGTTTAAAATGAAACCTGTCAATTAGAATATCTCGATCAGCACAATATTACTTGTTAGCAGAAACCTTTTTAAAAAAGGAAACTAGTAGGCATCAGTTTTGTTGTCTTGGTCCAAAATTTTTTAATGCGTTTGTAAAAATGTTCGGTAATGAAGTTTATAATGATAAAAGGTTTGTGATAAAGTCAAAAGCTTTGTTGTTTTCTATCAATAATAATATAGCATAACTAATCTGTAACTTATTTTTAGCTTTGTTTTAGATAAATAACTATTTATATTTGCATGTAGAATTTATTGTCTTTCTAAAAACCGTGTTCTTATTAAATTATTCTAATTTGTCTAAGTGTTATTTATATGATTAAAACTGTTGCAATAGGAAATGTCTACTCACTGTTCTGTTTAAGTGACAAAGAAGGAAAAATGAGCTTTTTTCTGCCAGAAACAAGAAAATGAAATGTATTAAGAAAAATATGTTTTTCATCCCGCGCGTGCTTTGCATGTCACAAGGGATTATGTATTTAATAAAAAAATTGCATTAATTAAAATTGTTTGAATTGAATATATACATATATAAAAATTTTAACGAATGGTGTTTTTGGCCTCTGGGGACATCAAAATGAAAGAGTAAATCCATCCCGGGTCTAGGTCTTACCATGCCACCTACGGTAATAGCTTATTTCCCTATAAGGAAATTCGCTAAAAATGACACAAAAAATGATTGAAGCAAAAGTTATCAGTGGTAAGTTTAAAGGAGAAATAGTCATAATCCAAAGAATAATGATGATTTCATCCGAATTACCCTCTGAATTTAAGAAACTAAAATTTCCTTTTTGTCTTGCTTTCGCAATAACCATTTTAAGACACCAGGGCAATCCCTGACTGTCGTCGGTTTAAATTTAGAAAATGTATGCTTTCACACGGACAGCTGTACACACATATATATACAAATATAACAATTTTAACGAATTGTGTTTTTGGCCTCTGGGGACATCAAAATCAAAAAGTAAATCGGTCCCGGGCCTAGGTCTTGCCATGCCACCTACGGTAATAGCTACTGTACTTTCTTATAAGGAAATTTGCTAAATAGAATCTAAAAACTTTAAAAGGTACCTATCTAATAACTTGTTCAATTATTTACATTGAACACTATTTTTAAATAGAATATGCAATAATCGTTACAACAACAACAACTTCATACCTTAATATTTTATACGACAGTCAAAGACTCCACTGTTTGTGATTACGCATTTTTATTGGTAAATAAAAGGTATACAATGCTTAGCTCTCCACTGAAAAGGCAATCAAAATATAAATTATCACCTTGTCAAAACTTTAACATTATTGAACTAGCCACATTAAGTTGCAAAGAGAAACGAGACTGCTGTGAGTAAAAAAGTGTAAATACTCGAGTATGAGCTTTTATTGAAACGTGACCAGTATACCTACAATATGATGTATAAGTTAAATCCTATTTATAAAAATGTATTTCTGCGTTTATGTATGTTAGTTTCTACCTTTTTATGTAGTTTAAACTCGTCCTTTTAGTGGGTAGAATAAATAAAGTACAAGGTTTTCGGCACTTTTCTAACAAAGGGCTATTTTTACACATAACAAAAAAAACAACTGATGTAATCATTATGAAATTTTAACAGCTATTAGAAAATATACTTATAAAACATATTTATATGTTTTAAAATTTTTCATCGGTAAAAAAAATCTCTTACGATATTTGTAATGTAATAATTGGCTTTTTAATTGAGAGACGGAACAGTTACGAAACTCAGCTGAAAGCTTGAATTAAAGGTATTAAAAATGTTAAAATGTAAATTTAATTTGCACATTGTGTGCTAACACATATTTGAGTCACACAGCTGAGTGTTCTTCAATCATAAAATGCACGTATAATCAGTAGTTGAGCGCTGGCGAACGGTGCCTGTTATCTGACTGTGGCAACCACTGTAGAGACTTCTGGCTCAGACTGTACCGTTGGAGGTTATGAAATTTGGACATTATGAACCGCACTGTTTATTTGGTATCTTAACGTTGGAGTTTGTGAAATTTGGACATTGCGAAACAGTGATTATTCGAATGTTATAGATTTGGAGCTTATGAAAATTGGAGGTTATGAACCACTCTGTTTATTTAATATTTTAAGCGTTGGAGTTTGTGAAATTTGGAGTTTATGAAACACTCCCGTACAGACCACGCAGCCTTTCACAAAGCCACCTGGGAAACATAAGTGATGTGGTCCGAGAAAGTGAGGCCACTGTCAAGTACCACACCCAAGGTCTTGACAGTATCCCTCGCCATTAGAGGTTTTCCTGCGATTTGAACGTGCATGTCTCCATTTGCAACTCTGTGAAGAGTAGTGGGTGTAGCAATATGAAGAATCATGCATTTTTCAGAGTTCAATTTTAAACCATGTTTGCGTGACCACTCACTTATTCTCACCAGATCAGAGTTTACTCCTGCAAAAGCCTGATCAGCGGCCTGAATCTCATAGGAGAAATGCAATTGGCAGTCATCGTAAATGAAACTGCTAAGGCCAAAGTAAAATCTTTTATTTTTTATATTGAAATTTGTATATTACAAAAACAGGTATAATAATATTAATCCAAAAAGAAATCTACTCATTAGTTGTAGTTTCCTAATAATTATAATGTATGAACTTATATTTCCAAAAATACTGTAAAACAAATTATTGTAAAAATAGATCACTATTTAGGTATTATCCTCCGAAAATAAAAAAAATGATTTGCAGCATTGCAGATTATGCTTCTTAGGCATTTAGATTTAAGCATACAAATACATTACCTCTAGTCTAGTTGTTTAGTTCTCTCTATAGAGGAATTTATAAACTGACAGATTTAACAAAAACTTTTATTTAGACATTCTTGGGGTGTAAATTGTGAGGTGTGACACAAAGCTTGTTCAGCAGAAATTTGACACTCAAATCTACTCTTTCTCTAATATTCTTTATCATCTCAATGGCCATGTCTATTCTGCTGGTGACGAAAACCTATAGGCTCTCAAGTTTGGACCCAATTATCTTCAGGACAGAATTTACGATTTGGAAACAAAAGGAAAAACAAATCAATTTAAAATAAGATATTTTATCCCCAAGATAGCTGCGTTAAAATGCTGTAAACCCTCCTTGCAAAAAATATTACCAAAACAATTCAAGCTAACTGTACAATGTGGGTGTGTTAAGCCAATCCCTATCTTAGAACTTTAGTAGAGCTTTAGGCACATACCAACTGTCCTATCTTCTGATTGCTTTAGCAATAATTTCTTCTACCGTACTCTTTATACCACATACTGTACTTATCTACTACTTCTGACAACTTAGAAGTGGCGGAACTGAGAAATGGCTAAAAAAAACGCCTCTCTACTCTTTTAAAGAATAAAAAAATCTATAGCCCTGCCGCCAATTTGTAAATATTTTGATGATGAGCTGCACAGTTCAAATTAATAATTTAGTTTTGACTCAATCCATCCAGCAAACTGCTGGTCAAAGATGAAGAAAATAAGTATGAAGCCTTAACTGATGTCTTGGATATACAATAGTGCTGGTTTTACTTTTTTGATTATTTTTTATGTTAATTGTGATGTTGGCTTGAACAAGAAATAGTTAGAGTTTCCAATTTAAAAACAAATTTAAGAATTGTTTTGTTCAAGGAAAGACTTTGTACCATGATTTTTAATTATAATAAAGATGATCGCTAGCTTACCTTGATTAAGTACAGGTAGGCCATAGGACATCTAGAAGTCAAACATAACAGTGTGCCTTTTGTCCTATGGCCTACCTGTACTTCTTCAAGGTAAGCTACTATCCTTTTTATTCTACAGTTCAAAATATAAGCATTAAATGGTTTTGAAAACCAGGAAACAAAATTTAAAGATTTTTAACATCATTACAACATTTGATAATATTTTTGTGTTATCTGACTAACTTTTTTCACTTATAAGTAGAAGAATGGCTTAGGTACAGTAGGATAATCGAGGTTAAACTGTAGAGGGTAACCTACTAGCCTGCCTCCACTAGCCTATGTCTTTGATTTCTCTTACTCCAAAGGGTTTGATTCATACTAACCCTGCCGTCCATTAGTGGTACACTGACAGTAGGAATGTCCTCTCTACTGACTGCGCTGATAAGTAGTGGACTGCCGGAGGTGGAGAACGCAACCTCCCCGTGTTGCGGACGGCGCATCACAGACACTGGCGTGTTGGACACTTTGGGCGTGATGGTCTTAATGAGACTCATCTGCTGTCGATGTGTGTTCAGTGGAGTCTGTGTAAGAACAAGAAATTTATAAATTATAAATCTTTTTTGTCATGAAGAATGAAGACATCCTTGTACCATCTGATGATACTAAAAAACCTAAATTAGGCTGGATCTTTTTGACTATGAACACAAACTGTTATATTACATTAGCAGAACTAGGTTTTGGCATTGAATATAGGATACTGGACATTCTCATCAGCATTGACCAATTATAAACAATTTTTCATTTATGAGAAACATAGTTGAACAAAGCACTCTCAATGTGTTTATCTCAAAATTATATTTTATCCCTTAATTCTTGATACTGTGATAGTTTATATGATATAGAACAAACCCAAGATACTACACTTTACAAACACAGTTGCTACAGTTTGCAAAAAGTTGTAAATTTAGTTAAAGTTGGTTTAGGAATTTGCGTATTAAACTGAAATCAGTAATTTGTATGAGTTCACTCTGGCAGTGGTTCAATTCCTTTTGGTTCATTTTTATCATAAAACAGGCCCAACATAGGGCGTTCACTTCTTCTTAGAATTTTTGATAAAGAACATCAAGAAGTATAAAACGCTTTACTGAAGTGTAGCTAGGCTTAAGTTATAAAAGGATTAAATTCATTATCCTCAAGAATGGAAATCTGTTATATTATCTTGGTGTACAATAAAAATTTTAGGTAAACGGTTTAGGCTACTAACCAAATAAAAATAATGGCATATGGCACATCAAAATGAAGCTCAGTGTGTGTGTCGATTTGCCGAAAAGCATTGGTATGAACAAATTCTCTAAAGACCCCCACAGGCCGACTCCGTAAAAATAAAATAACAATTATTTTATATGAACCTCAATGAGGCACCATTTAGTAAAAATCACTTAAAGTAAAACTGTCAAATCGTTTTGGGTTTTCCACCATTTGTTTATTACAAACGTAAGAATTTCTCAATGTTCATTCTCAAATAAAATACAGAAAGAGCGGATTAGCTATATAAAAAATTCTTAATGTGTATAAACTCTACTGTTGTAAATCCGTCATACCCTGTACTGCGATGGTGGGGGAGGGGCAGAATGAGTTGGCACAGACAACGACCTCTTCCGGGAACTTCTACGAGGAGCTGCAAAAACATTTCATAAAAAGAATCATAAAAAATGTGTTTTCCCCCTTTAATTACTTAAAGCTATTTAAAATAAAACTGATTAACTGGATTAAATTATTTTTAAACCTTTACTTTATCACTGTGATAGGGGCATTTTACGTATGGAACAGCAAATCTACATACACTACTACAGTACATTCAAAGTTTGTTTCCAATGAGGCTTATTAATTTTATGACATACCACCCTCATATTATACATCAGAGCTTGAGTGTAGGTGTGCAGATTTGCAAACTGGTTTTAGATTTTCAATTAAAGCTAGTAAATAAACGCAAAATACACCTGACGCAGCAAACCTGCAGACTAAGTAAATTTGTAGCTGGCCAGCGGATTTATACAAAATTTTATAAAAATTGGATAATTTTTGCTAAAGTTACCGTGCTAATGGACTTGTATATTCAGTGAACGATTTGTAAAAATGAGGCGTCGGAACTGTTATCTATTTAATGTTATTTGAACCTAATTATGCAAATATTTATCTTTCCGAAAGAGAAGTAAGTTACTGGAACTCCGTTCCGCCGCATTCCCCGCAAATATTTATGAATTTGAAACAGATGGTGTTTTTGGCCTCTGGGGACATCAAAATGAAAAAGTAAATCAGTCTCTGGTCTAGGTCTTAAAATGATACCTATGGTAATAGCTTATTCCCTTTAGTGAAATTCGCTAAAACACATTTGTTTACATTTCTACTTCAAAAAGCATAGCTGTTTTATTTTAATAGAGCCCTGACTCCGACAACGCACATGCTAAGGCCAAATTTGAAAACAATAAAACTTGAATGCAAGATAGTGGACTGTATGAAACTAGCATCGAGTACAATTGGTACAAATCTTAATGAGGGTTCGAGTTGAGGTAAACCAATTTAAGACTTAACAAGATACCAGTGTCCTAACTGTGTTTCATATGCAATAGACAGACAACATGCACACAGCAGATTTACAAAAGTTATGTCTACAGCTGGGCGTGGTGAAACTGCCCCGACGTTTTGGGTACTTTGGAAACGATGAAACTGCCCCGCTCATTAAAAAGGATTTAGCAAGGGTCGCCTCGCAAGACTAGAAATGCTGAAATTGCGCCGAGCATTCGGCCAGGTAGTCGCTAAAAGAATGGGGATGAAGGGAATTATTTTTGTCCCTATGTCCTGTCAGTGCAGTCTTCTGAGTTCTTCTGCAGTTAACTGCCGTCGACATTTTTTCCTACCAAGCCACAATTGTTTCTGTACCAATACCTAACCTAACCTAAAATAAGCTAGTAATTCCTGATATTGGTGGTTATTAGAAGACTGCAGTCACTGACAGAACACAGGGACAACAACGATTCCCTTTACACCAGACCCGTAGCGGCTTCCTTGCCGGGGCTCGGGGCAATTTCTGCATTTCTGGTATGGCGAGGAGACCCTTCTTGATGCTCTGTAACGAGCGGGGCAGTTTCATCATATAAAACTTACCTAAAATATCGGGACAGTTTCATCGTCCCCCTACAACTATAAAAAAATGTGTCCCGTACATGGACATAGCTTCTTAAAGGTTTCAATGCTGCAAGGATGCCTAAATTAATACTCACCGGTACTCTTAGGTTTTTTAAACTCTGATGGTTCCCTATTTTTCATTCTTGATTGGCGTGCCCCCCTTGTATTCGGGTCTTGGTTCTGATCTTGAAACATGTTCTGAAAACGAAATGTTGTAAAGACCAAGCCAAAAACCAGAATTAAACTTGTAAACACATTCAGCATGCTAAAGTAAACTCTATTTTAGGCCTACTAAACATGTTTTAGTCTCAATACAACTTTTTATCATAACATAATCAATTGTGTTTGGTTAGGTTACTTCTATTAACTGACCATGTAAGGCCTATATGAATTTTAGCAGCCTTTAATTACTAGGTCAAAACAAACAAAAATTATTGCACAAAATTGAATGCGGATATTAATAATATTGTTAAGTTGTCTATTACAATATTACCTCTTCATGGCGAGCCATCAAGTTCATGGAGAGATAGTTTTCTGGTAAAGACTTCAGTAAATCTGCAAACGTTTTTTTTACGTCGATAACACAATACTCGTAGATCTTTGCACGCTTATTTATTTTCTTCTCAACTGAAAACAAAAACAAATTATGTTAACTAGTCTACTTAAGTAATTTATTACTTTGGACATCTTTTCTGATGCATACTATCAAGACATCCCATCTATATGGATCAGCTGTCGCCAATTTTTTACTAAAAAAGAATGTAGTTTTGTGAGCCAGTCACAGATTGCGCTAGTGTCTAAAACTCTATTTTGTACCTTATTTTTCGTTACTGTCATAGTTGCTGGGTCACAACAGTTGCTATAGCTCATAATAAGTCATTCCATCAGTTTGACTTGGTAAAAACCATCATGTAATCGGCAGAAATCAGTAATTTAAATCAGCGCAATCTGTAGGTGGCTCACATCAACTAAGACAAATTTTATTAAAATCCTGACTACAACTTTAACATGGGGGTGGAATGTCTAGATACTATATAAGAGTTTTAACAACTATCATCACTCACATTCACATCACCACTCAAACATGGAGGTTAATTCCAGGGCATACAAATAGGCTAGGCCTATATCAATATCCACTAATCCAAAAACATCCGGCTACTTGTAATAAACCGTTGAAGTAGGCCTAAATGGTTACTACATTAAAATTGAAAACAAATATATATGAGTTCCAAAAAACTAACATCAGTGTCCTTGTAGATGAATTTTGAAGACCTGGTAAAGTCTGTGAATTGTGCGTAAATTTTGTATGGAACCAGGAAATTTACAAAATTTCCTTCCATTAATCTTCCTGAGGTTTAGGTTAAAGTAGTAATGTACCTAGTAAGAACATGATCGCAGTTGAGAGTATAACAGGTGTAGTTGTGATCAAAGTAAATAATCCCGTATATTTTATAGATCAAGGGAGACGATCGAAGTATTTTTTCTAGTTGTCTACACCGGTGACATTTTTCGTACAAGGTGTTTTACCAGTCTCTTCTGTAAGGCCGAGATGCTAACCTCTAGGGTTGATGAAAGGATTTCGGGAGCAACATAGATAGGCTACATTGCCATTAATAGACGTACAACTTAAAAAATAAGCTCTCCATTGAAATTACAAAATTAGTCCCATACAGACTTTCTCAGCTCTCAAATAAACTTACTTCACACTGAAAATATAGGCTACTACGGAATGAAAGGAATGCTGATCATACAGTAGCATGATAGCCTATTTAAACAGTGATAAAATGGTCACAGACCACAGTACCTACCCAAAATGGACATGATGGGAGTAATAAAGGGTATAACCAGTTGATGTATGTATTTGTGTTTTGAAAGCCTATGATTTAATAAAGGAATTCCTACTGCAGCATTCTAAAAACTTTACGCCCCTCAACTTAGTCCCAAAGGTTACTTTTGTGATGAAAGGAATGGAAAGTTAATACGGTAAACTGGTCATATGTTTGTACTGTATTTTATTTTTCTCAGCCTAATTTAAACATCTTCAATTCGCATAGACAAATAGAATTAAGTAACTTATAGTCCGACAGCAGTGCAGCGATTAGCATAAAATCTGGCGTCCATCGCTAGGAGTGCCGTGTGGTTATGGCACACTTGCTACGTAACTACACAGCACTCCTAGCGGTGGAAGCCAGAACTTATGCTAACCGCAGCACTGCTGTCGGTCTATATTTAATTCTATTTGTCTATGATATGTATGGGTTTGGTCTGAAAGAGTTAATAACCAAAAGACACTCGTTTACTGAGAATGATTAAATAAGTTCACAATACTCACCATGTGCTTCTATTGCTTCCTGACATTGAGAAACTGAGTTGTATTCTTTTGAAATGAGATCAGACAAATCGTCCGCTTGGTCCCCAGTGCTTGACACAGTGGAGGCCAGTGATGCAGTAGAGGCCAGAGATTCAACTGAAGCTGAAGTTTGCCTCTTCAATGTTTTTCTTTTTACTTTCATTGATGATTTTCTTTTAATCATTTTCGTTCGAGGCATTTGAACCTGTGAAAATCATATCATATTTTTTTAAGTCTGCCTAATTATCAATTTCACATTCTATCTTAATTATCAATTGCAATCAATTATTGTGTTTTCTAATGAACACTTAGTCCCCAGCTGTTAAAAAATATTTGGTTTTAAATTTCACTTTTTAATAATAACCTGTATTATACGCAAAACTACAACCAGCAGTGAATCAGGATTATAAAAACAATCTTTGGTGGTAGGTAAATGGAACTCATTTTGGGCATAGGTAGGTAAGTAATTATGGCCAGCAACCAAGTTCTTCCTATTTTTAAAATTACAAATCCTACTGTTTTAATTTTGAAAAACTAATCGCTTGAACTAAAAATACACAGTGAAATTAAATTCAATTTTAAGGTTTATTAAAAGATTAGTTTTAAAATCGTTACAAAATAATATTCCCTTTACAACAGCCTGCACATCACTTTCAATAAGGTAGGCTATATACTAAACTATTATTGTTTTACCAAATCTCAAAAATAAAAACAGTTAAATAGGCCTGCTATCCACATTTAGCTACAGTGATTAAATATTTAGTCTTGATGAATTAATAAATTATACGACACACATTCTATACATTATCCTCTCATGCTTAAATATCTCATCACTTCTTTGTGACCAATGATCATATGTGTCATTCTGTTGCTTTTTTATTGCTTTATAATAATTTCAAGTAGAATCAGCTGACTGATTGTTCTAATCCTACAAAAACAAAAACATATTTCAGACAGTTTTAATCAAAAAGGATTCATCAGATTGAATTAAGTTACAAACAAAATGTGTAATTTTAATGGAGTTTTTATCTACCTCTGTGGCATGAAAGTGGATACGGAACAAACTATGGTCGTCTAGGGTACTATCTGACATACTACATCTACATATTGTTAAAAAACATAGGTAAGTTAAAAAACTTAGTGGAAAATGATAACTAGGTTCTCGAAATCAATCATTCACAAGATTTAACTGGAAACTTTTGGAGTTGAGGGCAAAGGTATGATTTAGAGTCTGCATATATAAAATATAAAAAAGTAGCCTACAGGCATAAAAAAGTGTGATGACATTCTTTAGGAGGGCAAAATTACAGGTAGTAAGTAGGTAGCCTACACTTATGCATCTTACCTATAGGGAAGTAGCTATTACTATTGAATAACTTAAGTTAAGTTATAGGCTAGTCTCACCGATTCAAAATTAATTTTTACCCGTAAATGTGTCTAAGTTAACCTTAAGACTTACTCCCAGTGTTTTTCATGCTGAACCCGAAAATGCTAATAAGTTTTTAACGGAAAAGGTCTTAACTTAAGTGTCCTAAAAACTAAATAGCCTACTTAAAAGATTACAAATTTAAAGTTTAACTTATTGAGCGCTTGGTATGGTGGTTTGGGTGAGCCCAAGTTCTAGTGGCCAGCAAGGTAATAGGCCTATGTGAAGAATTAACAGCTGGTTTAGGACGGATCATCTTCAAATGGTCCAAAGTCGTTTGGTCCACAGTTTATATTGCCGTTCGTTTGGTCCAAAATCGTTTGGTCCAACAGTTAAAAACTCGTTCGTTTGGTCCAAAATCGTTTGGTCCAACAGTTAAAAACACGTTCGTTTGGTCCAAAATCGTTTGGTCCAAAAGTACAGGCCAAACTAGAAGTAAAATGTTGCATTGTAGAGTAAACTTATGAAATATACTGTACGTTTATATTGCCGTTCATTTGGTCCAAAATCGTTTGGTCCAACAGTTGTAAAACAGTTCGTTTGGTCCAAAATCGTTTGGTCCAAAGTATAAACTATTGCGTCCCTCACATTGAAGGCGTTCAAATATCCGCCGTCGTATACAATAATAATATTAAAACAATTTTTGCTTTAAACATGTTGACTTTCTATGTTTTTAACGTTAAAGACGCCATGTTTTGTTGTATTCAAACCACTAAAGCGTACATAAACAAACTTAAAGCTCAATAGTGTATCATACGGTTGGAAATCTTATAAATTAACAGTTTTTATCACATTTGGCGACCTTCTAATATACAGAGTGTTCAGTGGACCAACGTGTTTTAAATGTTAATCATACACCTTAATTTGTATTGTTGTACCGGTACCTATTTACAATGGAGTGTTTACTATTGATCATGGTTGTCTATAATTCTTAATCAAAAGGTTAAAATAGAACATGAAAATTACATTAATTAGCCTACTCATATTTTCTGGACGTCCACAATTTCCTGGTAAAAATTTTGTCTTACAGAATTATATATAAGGATCTTATTTTCTTATTTTAAAATTGATGTTCTTCTGTATAATGTCATGTTTAGCAATATAACGTTCCATTACGAACAGTTATATAATCTTAATATTACAGTAACTCTTTCAATCATTTCTTAATGCATTATGTTATATCTATTGTACTGGTTGGTGTCTGCCTTTTTGACTACTTTTGCCGATATTTTGTCTTATTATTCAAGACTGACAGATCATCACGAGATTATTGTTATACATGTGTATTTAATCATTGGACAATTTCCCATTATGTAATACGATACAGAATAATAAAAGTGCAGAAGGCTTTTACAGTCTATGAAAATGAATGTTAAATAGGCTATTTTTATTTATCATAGACATATCATTAAGGTAGGTACATCAATTATAGGTCTACTCTTTGTGATATGCATAATTGTTTGAGACAAACATTCAGGCACGTTGCCCATATTTTTTTTTTTTAAATAATAGTGGTTTTCAGTTACTGGATTAAATTTTTAATAATTTTATGAATAAATGCATGATAAGTTATAGAAAGTTATTAATCCTAAATTTCAGTTTATTACAGACTTTTAAAGAGTTTACTTTGATGTATTAATTCAGCTTAGTGAAAGAATACACAATAGAGCCAATGAATGTTATTCAACTAAAGAAGTGTTGTACATATTTACTGGCGCTACTCAGCAACAAAAATCATTGATCTCTCCAAGTTACTTACCCAGATGGTGACATAAAACAGGCCCAAACTCCATACTATAAACAGTTTCTCAGGCCAGAGTCAATTTAAAGCGCTTGAATTGTGGCATTTATTAATTCGGCTTATATTTCTCGTAACCAACAGATTGTTCATCTGCAGAAGAAGTTCAGTGTGCTCTTATCGTGTCTAATGACATCCAAACACAGAAACCTTAAATTACAGTAGTACCTATATCTTGACAGATGTTTTGCAGTAGCATGTTACCTTTTGTACGATATTACGGACCGTGGCCCACTTGATTGGCCTTAAGTGGGAATTTTTTTAATAACACTACACCTTAACTGTAAAACAAATTTCACAAAGAGTGATCACCATTTTTTTTTCCATTTACTGTCATGACAGAAAGGTCATCCTCTTAAAGAAGAATTGAGCGTATCAATGATTAGCATTACACATAGTATAAATAAGTCAACCCTGAATATGTCTTTACATTTTTTTCAAATGCTGAATTTGTGACACAAAAGCTGAATGTTTACAGCTGTTATGTTAAGCAAATTATTTTATGCCAAAAGCTAGTTTAGAATCTTAGCGTCGGCTGCTAGACTTTTTAAAAATTAAAACTTAATTTCTAAAAAACTGGGACCCTAAACTAAAATTATGGCTTCGACATTCCCTAGTTCTCAAAATTATCTTTTCTTGCAACACAAAAATCATGAAAATCCGTCGAGTGGTTGATTCAGAATCGTGAAATAAAAAAACACTGTTTCGTTTTAATATTATAGATTAAATAAACCATCTGTTTAACATTAAATGCAAACTCAAAGCAAAGTCAATGTTTATCCACAAATCTAGGGAATTAAAACGCGTTGTTTTAAGATTGACTGGGGATAAAAAGTAAACATTACACAAACACATTATATATAAATAAATATATGTATATGTACGTGTATATAAATGCAAACATATCAATTATTTAGAAACGTAACACAAAACAACAAATAGGCCTCGGAAGGCAGGCGGTTGGGTTGACGACGTGACGGCGATTATTTGAACGCCTTCTATGTGAGGGACGCAATAGTTCATACTTTTGGACCAAACGAACTCGTATTAGAGTTTTGGATAAAACTACCCGATCGAATGGTCCACAGTGAAACGTACAGTCTATTTCATAAGTTTACTCCACAATACACAATTGTAATTCTGGTTTTGCCTGTACTTTTGGACCAAACGATTTTGGACCAAACGAACTGTTTTACAACTTGTGGACCAAACGATTTTGGACCAAACGAACTGTTTAACAACTTGTGGACCAAACGATTTTGGACCAAACGAACTGTTTTACAACTTGTGGACCAAACGATTTTGGACCAAATGAAATACTCCCCAACTGGATGATAAAACGATTTTGGACCAAACGAACTGTTTTACAAGTGTTGGACCAAACGATTTTGGACCAAACGAACTGTTTTACAACTTGTGGACCAAACGATTTTGGACCAAATGAAATACTCCCGTTTAGGACTATGTGCAAGTAACATGTGATTAGGTACTCCCACCAGACAGTGATTCCTTGACACTGCAATAATTATAGGTTCAACCAGCTTTTTAATACCAATACTAAAGTAGGCTAGACACCCCCTAAGTTTACCCCCCTAATTTACAAAGACCAGCCATAACTTAGTCAATTTTGTGTTATAAAACTTAATCGAGTAGACCTATGCCTACTAGTACCTAAAGTGGCCTTGCTAAAAATGGTGTTTGCCAGGGTCTGGGTCCTAAATAAGTACCGATTTTGACTCTGTATTTTATAATTATATTAATTGATATTTTAAGTTTTAAAAGATGCTGCGGTTTAGACTATAAAATAAGTTAGTTAGCTGCCTAAGTACTTCCTAGTCGTTTTGGTTAAGTTTTGGATGGAGAAACACTTAACTTAGGCCTGTAAAATTAACCTAGCCTTAAAGAGAGACTTAATAGGCCTAATTAAACTAGGCCTACTGAATTTGAATAAGTTAAAGTAGGCTACTATGATTTAAATATAATTGATCCAAAATAGAAATTAGTACCGGTAAGTTACTGTGTATGCCTACTAAAAGCCCATGCCATCCTACCCATTTCGAGATCCAGAATTACCTAAATTGATATTAACCTAGGACTACATATATATTTAAACAAGTCATACAAAATGTAAATCACCTATGTAAATATTTTGTTAAAAATACTAAGTCATTTAAAGAGTTAATCATAGCCATTACAAGTGTTAAAGCAAACACTTTTTAGTCTTAACTTAAGTTCCATTCAAGCGGGTTTTAGGCTAGGTTAATACTAATAGGCCTTGTGAGTGGTTATGAATTAATTTACTTACGGTAGGTAGGCACAATTTGTAGAATATAAATTATTAAGCTAAGCTATAAGATAAATTAAAAGGCACAACCACAAATTACTTTAATGTTCTTTATAATACGGTACGAGTAGACTAGACTAAAAGACAAGACAGACAGAACACTAACACTTTTAATTTTTAAAAGTAAGTTCACGCACGAGAAAGAGAAAATCACACTGAAAAAAAGGTGGCAAGACAAGTAACCGCCAAGAAATGAAATCGAAATGTCAACTCAACTCGAAAAAACGTTCGGTAGTTGCCTAGTCTTTTTTTAAGGCAGGTAAATTCTGATATACCATATAGTGCTTGTTTATTTATTTATTCATACGGCAAATACCATTAAACAATACGAGAAGTATGTTTTATCTATGACAATACATATCAAAACAAGATGGTTAGCAAAAATAAATACTTAAGAATTGCAATTCACATGGCAAAATATACATACAAAAGAATAGAAGAGGTTTCAGATTGCATTGACTGCTACTGTTTGGTGGCCCCCATAGCGTTGGCAAACCACATTGAGTGCATATTTTAAGCTTAATTTATAAATTCAGTGTGATCATATTGTAATTGTTACAATTATTATAGTTGTTTTTGTGGTGATTCATCAATTGCGCCAAAGAGTTCCTTGATTGCACTAAGCCACGGCCGCCTATAACTCCAGGCCGCGGCCTTCGAAGTGGCAACGTCGCAAGTGGTGTTGTAACAGCTGTTTTGTTGGGAAGCAGCTTATGGTATTTGTGTATTTACGAAAGATTGGCTACTGGACTATGACAATATTGACTCCCTTAAAAATGTACAGATATACGATTTTTAATTCATATTGTTTCGGTTTTCAATTCTGCATGTTTTATTTTCAATATTTTAATAAATTTATGTTCATAAATTTAAATTTAAATCAATAAAGTGCGAATTAATGAGCTGATATCACCTGCCTCCCATGTTATCTTATGGGACGTCTGTCCCTAAACAACACCACTTGCGACGTTGCCAATTCTGCCAGGCCGCGGCCTGTAGTTAAAGGTGGCCGTGACTAAGCCCTAAAAGGGTTCCAAAAATTTTTCTTAGTTGTCCCAAGCCCAAGGCAGGTAGGGAGGTATGCCACTGGGGTGGAGCCGTTTGGACGGATCTGCACCAAACTTAACACAAACCATCCTTGAAAGCTCAATAAAGCCTGAAAGTTGCATTACAATCTTTCGAGCGGTTTCGGAGTCTATATAGTACATACCGTACATCGTACATACATACATTGTACATACCGGTACTTACTCTTTTATAGATATATATTTTCTACTTTTCAGTGCGTTTAAAAAAGTGGAATTTTTTAAAAGTGTTTTTATTTGTAATTATTTTCTACTTTTTAGTGTTTAATGTATAAATATGTTAAATCCATTTTTTAATTTAGGTGTTCACGTAATAGGGCTGCTGATATATTAAATTTAAAAAAAAATTGAATAAAAAATTTATATAATATTTAGGGTGCTCAGTTGTAAGTTACTTTATATACTACAATAATTTAATCTTACTAATATTATAAATGTGAAAGTTTGTGTGTTTGTTTGTTTGTTTGTGTGTTTGAAGTTCAATCACGCATAAACCACTGTACGGATTGGGCTGAAATTTGGCATGTTGATAGCTTACATTCCCGATTAGCATATAGGCATATTCTTATCTCAAAAATCCTTTCGGGCTCCGCCCCAGTGGCTCTGTAATTCCCCATGTTAACCTTACGAGTATTCATATTTAAAGGGAATTAAAGAATTTAGTCAGCTGTTTCAACTAAAAAAGTTGGTTCTATGATATGGAAAAGCATCAAAAAGTTATAAGATTTACCAACAGGGTGCAGCACTATATTTTCTTTGCATTTATGATAACAGCTAATTTGAACCAAGCAGCAACAATAAACTGATTCGCAATGAGAACTGTCAAAGTATGATTGTTTACAGTCATGTTTATGTTTTTCATTTCATGAATAATTTGTGATATTTTGCGAATTGTTGATAGTTTATTTTTCTCTATTGTTTAGGTGAAGCGGTAGAACATTATGGCTATGGTAGATGTGTAATACTATAGAATACTGTAAATTTAAAAAAGCAAATTTTATTAAACTGTGTCCTCCCTTATTGCAAACGCGAAGCTTGAGTATAACTGCAATAAGCATTTTATACTTATATTCCAATTAACTTATATTATATTGTACTCTGCTAGTAATAAATAAATCTATTTTATATGGCCTGTTAATGCATAACCAACACCTTATAATCTGTTAATCAGATGATTTATCTTTACTTTGGAAATGTTTGTTTTATCGGGAGCAGAACCCGCAGAACCTTTCTTACTCTGCTCTTCCAACTGTCAAATTTAAGTATTTACAGCTGACTTCAATTATATATTTACATTCTTCCAAAATGTAAACATTGTGAATTTGGAAGCCCATGGGACTTAGCCAAGCGAAATATGAAAATAAAATGATATAGCAAGCAATATATATCATATATACAATTTGCTTAATCATATAACAACATATACATATACATAATATAAAATTATATTATTGCATTGTCATCCATTTGTAAGATGTGTTTCAAGTTTCAAGTGTCTAGCTCATCGGGATGTTAGTTTAAAATCTATATCAAAATGTGTACCGGTCAAGAAAGGGAGCTAATAAAAACAAGCCCATAAGGGCGTAGCCCAAGGGAAATATGAAAATTTAAATTATATAATATTGCATTGTCATCCATTTGTGAGCTATGTTTCAAGTTTTAAGTCGCTAGCTCATCAGGAAGTTAGTTTAAAATTGAATACAAAACTCGTAACGGACAAAAAAGCGAGCTAATAAAAACGTTTTAATAATAAAAAGAAAACAATTGATATACCTAATTAACAAAAGTATTTGGTAAGAAATATTCCATGTTGTTCGAACAATCACAGGATGAACCCATGAACACCTCTTGCACAGCACTCATGAAGGCACTTGCTGTTGTAGGCATATGCAGTTGCTCGTATCTCCGACGAAAACGGTCATGAAGCCACCGTGCCTCCCACGAGGAACCCCCAAGGGTATGTCCTGCAAGGGATCAGGCTCAGGGCAGTCCAGATCACCATTTACCAGCTTGACCAACAGCATCATGTCTTGAATAGTACTTTGAAGTAGTAGTTTGAGTGAAGATGATACTGAGTCTCAAGATCAGTGATGGGGCATTGCGACAACGTGATAAGTATTTTACCATTCTGATTCTTGTTCTTAGCATTCTAACAAAGCGAAATTCGACTTTGTTTATCATATTGATGTGACCAATCGCAATCGTGATAGACGAAATGGCCGAACAACTTACTGATCATCTGAGCAGCTTTAGATACTGATCTACAGCTGTTTATTTTGAAAAGTCAAACCAAAATGTAATAGTGCGTGATAAAGCCCAAATATATGAAACACACAAACAAAAGTAATATTTAGTATTTAAGAACTTTAATATTTAGTATGAAGCCGGAATATAGTTTGTTCATGTATATTGTGATTATTTTACACAAGCGTTTTACTACAATAACGAGTTGCAATGTTCATACATTTAACTTAATCAAACATTCAGAAATAATTGAATCTTCACAAGGATGATTTTACTCTAGTAGGCTATCCCAATATTTTGGAAGCCGCTGCTCAAAGACAAGATAGGTTCAGACCAGACGATATCGAGCTGACGTTGGCTCAAGATGCTCGTTTCTTTTGATCTACAACTTCCGTCAGTCTGCGGCTAAATTTGCATCTTTGCTTATTCTTCTTTGAGATTTAGATTTCTAAGAATAATAGACCTACTACTCTATCGTCAATGTGATAAACGAATACGTCTTGCACGTCAGTAATTCTAATAATAGATTTTGAAAATCGTCCACGCAGGGACGAAAGCGTACTTCTTTGTTGTAAGCTTGTTAGTTTGAATCGTATTGTATGAACGGTTAAATTTGGAGTTGTGTTTCTTTACGTGTTTTAAATGTTTATGCGTTGGATCAGATTGTTTTCAGATATAAGCCCACATGTTACTTGATACTGGAAGTATGAAAAACTCGTGCATACCTTGTGCATCTTTTAATTGTCTTTGTGTGTACCGGTAAGGAGTTGTAAAATAATTTGAATGAAGTTCAAATTTTATGAATTCGCTTCTATTGCATGTCCAACAGTAGATTATGTCTGTTTGTTTTGGGAGTGATTGTGTAAAAACAAACAGTTACTGATCCTCACTGAAGAATCGGCCATAGTTAGTCAAATGCTCGTTTTTTTTTGACATACTCATGGTTTTCATTCATCACACAATTAATTATGATTACGCCTTTAGTCATTTAGGATCAGCCAAACTTATGGCTTCCTCATTAGATTAAACTAAGAAGAGTCTATAAGCATTTTTGATTATAAAGGCTGAACCATCGTCCCGGCTGATCAAGAGCTATTGCCATGCAATCAGAAAGTGATATTAAATAATCAAGAAGTGGCTATTTTATGATCAATAGAAGATGTTTTGTATTGGAAGTGATGGAATGATGCATAACAGACAAATAATGATCCTGGCTATAGTATTGGCCATAATTAGTCAAATGCACAATATCTTTAGACATACTCATGGTTACCATTCATACAATTATGATGATGAGCAAAGGGGGATGCGGAATACTATCCCCTGGAAAACTACCCCCCAGGTGAAACGTGACGTCACAAAATCTGCCAATTAACCAATATGGAAGCCGTGTCCGCGACTGGAATACTACCCCCCCCCCCGGTCTCTGACGTCAATATGACGTAGAACCTGTTTGGGGGGTTTGTTTTCCGGGGGGCAGTTTTCCGGCGACCCAAGCAAAGAATTGGTCAGATTTAGTGTTTCATCATAAAACCACATTGCTCAACCAAGGAGAGTCTAATTTCAAGTGATAAAGGCAGAACGATCGACTCCGGCTGATGGACCTATTGCATGTTCCACAGTAGATATGTCTGTTTGTGTGGGGAATGACGGTGTAAAAACAAACAACACTCGGGGTGGCCCGGGTAAACACAGCTAATAGCCAACTGTTTATAGCGGCGAGTCTATGACAGCAGCTTTCATCGAACACGTCATCTT